ATCTACTTCGAAACTCATCATTTTTAGTATGTATTTCTTTCCTACCAATGAAATTAATCAATGAATAAAGACAACATGTTCATTGCTTGCCTTGATTATGAATCTGATTCTGAATGGTAAACACCAACATAAGTCCTAGGTAGATCATAGCTCAATGGTTGAGTAAATCTTGGGCCCTTTCTCAATGTTTTATTATTTAATAATAATATCCTTTTCATAACTACTGTGTATTGTGGGCATATTTGTGTCAAGTTGTGTAATGTGCAAATCAGCTCAGGCAAGACCCTGTTATATTGTTACTTAGACAAAAAAGCTTCCAATTTTGAATTAGCAGCAAAGTTAGAAAAGCATACAGGTTGGCAAACAAAGCCCGGATGAGATAGATCTGTATCTCGGCTCAGACTGAAGACCGGATATAGCAATAAAAATTGGATGTCATTGGATAGTCAACAATGAGAGATATTTGAAATCTGTGATGATTTTATAACTAATAAGGGTGTAGAGACACACTCACACTGACTGGATGTGCCCAAACGCTTGCTCCTGATATTGTTGATTAAAACCTTTTTTACCCGTTTGGTCATGAAAAGATTGTTTTTTTTATACTTATTATTTTACACATAACACTTCAGCCACATCTTAAAACGTGACATATTTTCTTAATCATGTCACTGGGTTCTGGGGCCCTTGAATTTGTGCTCTTTGTGTGTGTTTCTCTTTAATTTCCTCTCATTCACACATTTTCCATTCTCACTTGTGCCTTGAGTACATTTCCAATTTGATAAGCTTTGTTGCTTTGTTGCTCCTAACAATTAATGGTAATTTGCAGCAGCACTCCAAACTGAATTCCTATCTTCATGGACATTTCCATCAATATTTGTCTACATGAAAATAAAGCACGGACGCAGGGAAGCAGGACTAATTTGTTGTCATTGACACTTTCTGCCTGGGGAGGCGGTTTTGTTCAATTGTCGACCAAATTGAATGGGTTCACATTTATTTTTTCCTCCTTTCCCCAAAGAACTTCACTCGTCAGAAGTTTTAGAAAAATATACAGGCACAAATTTAGCTGTGAAGAAAAGATTATTATTGTCGGACCAATATGTCTATGCGACTTTGCACATAGTTGTTCCGTCTCTCTGCCATAAGCATCGATTTGACATAGTACAGTAGGTGCCTCCTCACTTGCTGCGGAACTCTAATACTCCGCATGGCTGTTTGAAAGGAATTTAATCTGACCATGTATAAGTCTGATCCAACCATCTCTCAGCCGTGTGCAAACGAGTGAAACGCCCTAGCACTGATCTTCAGCTGGCACTAAGCCACTTTTATCACAGGGCTCAATGTAGTCGCATCTGTCGCTGTGGAAGGCTGCTGTGCCACTGATTTAAAATATTGCACCAACCATTCAGCAAGTGAATTATGGGCTCATTTTAACATGATATCCCATAATATTATGTACTTATAATAATAATAATAAAAATAATAATGCATCGGTTTTATATAGCGCTGTTTTGGACACTCAAGGACGCTTCACATGTCATTATTCATTCACTCCATACACAGTGGTGATAAACTACTACTGTAGCCACAGCTGCCCTGGGGCACACTGACAGAAGTGAGGCAACCAGTATGTGCTATTGGCCCCTCTGACCACCACCAACCATTCACACACACACCAGACTCATTCTAGGCAATGGGGGTGAAGTGTCTTGCCTAAGGACACAACAGCAGTTTGGCACTTTACAGCCGCAGCCGTTCCACTGTGGCACCTGGTGTTCCCAGAATGTCAGTTGGAGTCGGTGGAGAAAGTCTTGTGGTGGGCTCGAACACATAACCTTCAGGCTCAAATGCCAATGCTATAAAAACTAGGGCGACAGTGGCTTATTTGCTTAATAATAATAATAATAATAATAATGCATCGGTTTTATATAGCGCTTTTCTGGACACTCAAAGACGCTTCACATGTGTTATTATTCATTCACTCCATACACGGTGGTGATAAACTACTGCTGTAGCCACAGCTGCCCTGGGGCACACTGACAGAAGCGAGGCAACCAGTATGCGCCATCGGCCCCTCCGACCATCACCAACCATTCACACACCAGACTCATTCTAGGCAATGGGGGTGAAGTGTCTTGCCTAAGGACACAACGGCAGTTTGGCACTTTACAGCCGCAGCCGCCCCACTGTGGCTGGTGTTCCCAGAGGTTAAGTGTCTTGCCAAGGACACAATGACAGTAGTCAGTGGGAGTCGATGGTGAAAGTCTGGGGCGGGGCTTGAACCCACGACCTTCTGGCTCAAAGGCCAAAGCTCTACCAACTGAGCTACTGCCGCCCGATTAATGTTGAATCTTGTCTACAAAAACTGACAGAATAATGACTTTCCATATAAGAGGGTGGGAGTTTTTTCAAATTTTTTTTGGTTGCCATTAATCCCGAACTTATCAGGCATCAGGCTTGTTAGGCATCTGGCAAAAATGTGGAGATATGACATTTATTCATATTGTTTGTTCCAGTAAAAAGTAACCATCCAGCCATTCACTCATCAACTGTTTAAAAAAGGTCTGTTGTCACTGATTAGACTGTGCTATCATGGCTTCGTACTGTCGGATATGCACTAAATAAATGAATAATTCATTGCTGGAGTTTTGGAGTTCAGTAAGGACAAAACAGACCGTGAAAATGCTGTATTCCCAATGCCCATCAATATTACACTGCACACATTAGGGCACTTCTGTCGTCCGGGAGATTCATTGAGTCCCTGATGAGCATATCCTAAAAAGACTAAACTGATATAACATCTGTCAGACTGGGTGGAGACTTTTCTTTTCTTTGATGTTGTTTCACTAAAATTAAGGCGTGCGTTTTAAAGTCTACTTTGACATTTAGGTCAGAATAATGTGTATATATAAATTAACTACTGTAGGCATTTGAAGATGTTTATCAAAATCTGGCTTTGGGGACGTTGTGATGACGTCTGTAATGAAATGTTGTATTTCTGTTGTATTTTACAGCTGTACTGGAAACGTTTGTTTCTTGTGTTTTTATTAACAAATGTAGTCCAACTGTGGCACTAATAAAGGCTTTCATTCATCCACTCATAACCTACTTGGACTGTGGTTGTGTTGAAAAAGAAAACTATTGTTTATTACTATTTCTTGCTTTCAAATAATCATTTGCAGAGCTGAAAAGCATGAAAGAAACCTGTTTTCTTCCTGTGGAGATGAATAAAAGCTTTGTTGTTTATTTCAGGATGGCATGGGGAACTTCAGAGTGACCAAAGATGGCGTGCGGCTGGAGGGAGTGTCTCAGTTTCTGTCACCTCTCTATGTCCAGGAGATATGGTCTCGTGGGGTAAGAACACTTATGATCTATTTTTGTCTGGATTAAATTGGCTCCAACATAGTTTTATCCCAGTGTGGATTTGTAAAAGCATAAAAGAAGTGTATGTGACTGAAGCTAACTTTCATGTCACAATTTGACACAGACCCATAAAGGTTGTGAGTAAGTTACTGCTCTGACTGTATTTTTGACAGTAACATTTAGGTACAATTATTTTGTGCCGTGTTTTTTCTATTCTCGCCTCGTGTACTGTAGTGAAAGGAAGATTCCAGAAAATAAAACGCAATATTATTTTTCACATAATGATCATGCTTGATTTTAGATTCGCTGTCTTGTTGAAAACAAAACTATTGAAACAGCTTTACAAAAATCAAATCCTTTCCACCAAAAAGGGCGATAACTCTTTTAGAATCAGCACTGATCTCATCTTTGCAGGCGATATGGGCACGGAAACATTGACGGAAGCTACTTATTTGCTTTAGTGGGCTTAGGGATTTCCTCAAATATGAATGTGCAAATTATGGGTAAATGGCCTATTTTTTAGTTCAACATGAGACATAAAGGTATAGTTTACAACACAGAGGGGAAAATTCAGCAACAGAGAGCAATACTTGGTCATGACATGCTGTTGTGATCAGAACACAGATGAAGACAGTTGTATGATGTGACCATGGCAACACAGATCAGCACCTGTGGAGGCGCTGAGTGACTCTGAAGTCGTCAGGATATTGTTTGCATTTCACATTTAGTGTGCAGTCAGCTCTGACCGCTCCCACTGTGCCCCGCAGCTTATTCACACAGTGTGATGTGTTGACATTGGCAATACTTAAAATTAAACACAAAAATGTACTTCTTTACAGTACATCAGATCTGTTGTCCTTGGTGTGATACAGCTACTGTAGTATCAGACCAATGTCTTTCTCGACCACATTGTTACTTTTATTCTCCTGCCCAGTGATCTCTTAACCGTAGTACAGAGGCTGAACAGGCGTAGTACTCGTTAGACGTATTTTTATTCCAAAAATAGAACAGGAGCATGACAGAGGAGCCTTAATGAAGAGAGGCCACTGCAGAACAGAGCGTTGAGCGCGTAAACAACGGACTACACAGACCCGAGACATCCCACAATGCACCGCTCTTAAAGGGCCAGGCTTGGCCTATTACACTACCCCCACTATGGATGATAAATAAAAACTTTTATATCACTCCAGCACAAAATAATGCACATTATGAAATTATAATCAAACACTCCACCCTAGTGGTAATGTTCCAAGCCCACAGTCTTTGCAAACCATAGTCAAGTACTGATGGGGAACTCTGGCAAAGGTGACATACGTTAAACCTCATGTACATCGCTTGGAGGAGTCCAGGTAGAAAGGTAGGTATGGGGTGAAGTGCATAGCTCGAATTGGAATGTCCTGCCTTAGCTCAGCTCATAAAATCCCCATTTAAACAGTCATTACTCCTTTAACCTGCAAGGCACTTGTATATATAAACTCAATGTGCACACATAACCGACAAACAGTGCAAAAATGGCATGTACTAAACAACATGTAGTAAGCCTCCAACATTTTTAACATAACAGTAAACCATTTTATTTATTTACTCCGATTAGGCAGGAATCTGACTCGGGGATAAAACACTTGTTGCAGAGACTAGTGACTAAGCCAGTCACCAAACTTATCAGGTGCTCTCCGTGTCCTCTGCGACCTGGACAGAGGGGCAGAGATCGAACGGTGACGCCGTCTCACGCTCTGCGATGTATGCCGAGTGCCAACCTCATCCCACTGAGGCTGTGTGGGGCTGGCAGGTGGTTGAGGGCCAGGTGATGAAGGACCAGCAACCTCTCTGGCGGCGGCCGGGGTATTCTCGAAGTCAGAGGTAGTGTCTCTGGTGTCTGAAGGGGTATCCTCGGAAGTAGTGTCCCACAGCTGAAGAGGGCCGAAGTCCGTGTCAGAGTCCACATCAGACACAGGGGGAGACACCTCCAGTGGTGTTGGTGTGTCGTTTCTCTGGAAAACCCAGCTGTTGTCGAGCAGGGCTCTGGAATGGAAAGGTTTGAGCTTGTCGTGGTGCACAACTTTAATCTTTGCCCTTGGACCTTTCTGGATCTGGTACACCAAGTCGTCCAGCTGACCCACGATAAAGTAAGGGCCCTCGTAGGACGGCAGGAACTTGCGGACCTTGTGTCTTACTCGTTTGGTGCCTTTGACCAGGTACCACACCGCAGAACCGACCAGGTACTGAGTTTGGCAAATGTTCTTGTCATACTGTCTCTTTGCTCTTTCAGAGGCCTTTCCCAGAGCCTCTCGTGCAAGTTGGTGCGAGCGCTCCAGTTGCTCTCGGAGATTTACGACATAGTCAGGTTTCAAGCTAGAATTAGTGTCATTTGGGGGGAGCCCAACCACTAAGTCGATGGGCTCAGTGATTTCCCTGCCAAACAACATCATGTTTGGGGTAAGTCCGGTGGAGCTATGTTTGGTAGCTCGATAAGCCATGACTGCATAGGGAAGCATTAAATCCCAGTCCCAATGGCACCTTTCTGCAGTAGCTCCGAGTGTTTTCTGTAGAGTGGCGTTAAAGCGCTCCACCTGCCCATCTGACTGTGGGTGAAAGGGGGTTGTACGAGTCTTTTCAATGCCCAACAGTTCACACATGCCCTGGAAGACAGCAGACTCAAAATTTGTGCCCTGGTCACTGTGTAATGTGTAAGGGGCCCCGTACCTGCATACCCACTCTGAGACAATCTTTTCAGCTACCGTTAATGCCTGCTCATTGGAAACCGGATAAGCCTCAACCCATTTACTGAAATAGTCCTGCACAACTAAAATGAAGCGATTATGTCTGTCAGTCTCATTTAAAGGTCCCATAAGGTCAACTGCGATTCTCTCCATAGGTGCCCCGACCCGCACGGTGCCCATAGCAGCTTGTGGCGTCTTCTTTGGACGGGCCTTGGCAGCGCATCTGGTGCACGTGCGGCACCACAATGTCACATCGTCTCTCATATTGTACCAAAAGTACCTGGTTTTAACACGAGCTAGAGTCCTTTCCCCCCCAAAATGGCCCCCAACTGGACCATCGTGCATCTGCTCCATAACTGCTTTACGTAATGCGTGGGGCAGGAGGACTTGAGGGAAAAATGTCTGGCCTTCGGAAGAGAATCAATACCCCATCTTTCATGTAAAGTCTTTTCCACTGTGACCAGTAGGCCTTTGTGGCTGGACTGTAGGGAGCAATGGTGGACCATGGCGGGCGGCTACACCCGCTATCTACCCACTGCCAAACCGGCGCAATGTCAGGATCTGTCTTTTGAGCTGTGGTGAGCTGCTCTACGGTCCAGCCCTGAAACAAAGTCTGTTGTGTCTCATTCACACTGTGGACACTTGGATAGACTGTGTCACGGCTGTTTAAGTCGCCCACCCCCACTAAGGGAAGCTCAGGGTTAGGCCCCACTACCCCCACTAAAACCTGCCCTGGGGTGGAAGTGAAAGGCTCAGCTAAGGTAGAGTGGTCAGATGGGTCACACTGCACTGCTTTGTCTGCGTAACGGTCACGGTTAAGCTCTGGGACTTTTATAGTACAAGGACAGGATGCCTGGCATGGCCGTCTGGATAGCGCATCTGCATTTTGGTGGACCTTGCCAGGGCGGTGGATAACCATAAAGTCATACTCGGCTAGCTTTTCTAACCAACGCGCTAACTGACCTTCAGGTTCTCTCAGTCTAGTGAGCCAGCGGAGGCTGCTATGGTCAGTCCGGACAGTGAAGGGACGGCCGAGTAAGTACTGCCTAAAGTGGGAAGTGAAGTCCACAACTGCCAGTAGCTCCCTACGTGTGGTACAGTAGTTTTGTTCTGTAGCTGACAGTCGCCTACTCCCATAGGCTAACACCCTTTCCTCACCCCCCTGCACTTGAGAGAGGACTGCTCCAATCCCACAGTCACTAGCGTCGGTGTCAAGAAACATTTCCCCTTTGTCGAGGGGGTAGCCCAGGACTGGAGCTGATGTTAACAGCCTTTTTAGTTCGTCAAATGCCCCTTGGCAATGGGCAGTCCAGCTAAAGCGGGCGTATTTCTTAGTCAGTTCATGCAATGGTTTAGCTATAGTAGCAAAGTCCGGGACAAAGCGCCGGTAGTAAGAAGCTAGGCCTACAAACTGTCTAACTTCGGACACATTTCTAGGGGTGGGCCAGTTTCTTACTTTCTCAGTCTTTTCGGAATCGGTGGCGATGCCATGGGCGGACACAATGTGACCAAGGTAGGCCACCTCCTCGCGAAAAAGGCAGCACTTGGACGGTTTAAGTTTCAGGTTGGCCTGACGCAGTCTGCTAAAAACCTGCTCCAGTCGCTCTAACATCTCTGGAGTGTCCTTTCCCAGAACCACTATGTCATCCAAGTACACTAGACAGGTCTGCCACTGCAACCCAGCTAACACCCGGTCCATAAGTCTTTGGAAAGTGGCCGGGGCGTTGCAAAGCCCAAACGGCATCACATTCCACTCGAAAAGTCCCTTGCGTGTACAGAAAGTTGCAGCTTTACGGGCCCGAGGGGTCATCTCTACCTGCCAGTACCCTGAAGTTAAGTCAAGTGTGCTAAAATACCTGGCAGTAGACAGTGTGTCAAGAGTGTCCTGGATACGCGGCAGTGGATACGCATCCTTGATGGTCCTTCCGTTCAGCGGTCTGTAGTCCACACACAGCCTGGGAGACTTGTCCTTTTTCTTCACCACTACGATTGGCGCTGCCCAGCTACTGTTACTCGGTTGAGCAACACCCGCGTCGAGACTCTGTTGAAGCTGCTGGTCGGCGGCGAGCTGCTTGTCGGCGGCCATTCTGCGTGGAGGCTGCTTGACTGGAGGCCCTGGCAGGGTCTGGATGTCATGTTGCACGATGTTGGTGCGGCCGAGGTCAGTAGGGCCAGTAGAGAAGATATCGGCGTAGGAATGTAGCAGATGGGCGAGTTTGTTGCCGTCACCCTCTGACAAGATGGAGCAGCTCTCACCATACATGACCTGCAAGTGGGAAGGGACAGAAACAGAGTTAATGGGCCCCGGCTTAGACGGGGGCAAGGTTGGCGCCGACTCAAGGGTGGCCACCACCTCGGCAGGCTGGAGGACACCGGCCACGGTTCCTCTCTTCAGGGTGACAGGCGTAGACCCAGGGTTGAAGACTCGGATGGGAATGCCGGCGGACTTTAGTGGTTGGACGACCGCATGGGCCACCAGGACACAGTGTTTCTCGATAAAGGCCTTGGTTGGACTGAGCATCAGGTCGCCACCGGTTTGAGAGCGGAGGCTGGCGGACCCAGGTACCACATACTCACGACCAGGTTCCAGGACAGTGGTGCGGGCAATCCGGACGACATGGGCGGCAGCAGGCTGGTAATTGGGGTCGTAGCGTGGAACTTTTACGTTGAAGAGGGATATCTCTCGGCGGCCGTAGTCCAGGCATGCATTGGACTGACGCAGGAAGGGATGTCCCAGGATGACCTCGGTGCTTCGGGCGGTGTCGGCCATAATGAAATTTACATCCGTTGTTCTGCTCCCCACGAAGACAGGCAAGACAACTTCACCCAGGATAGATAAACCTTCAGGCCCTATTCCCTGCAGAACCTTGGCGATGGATGGCTGTACAGGCGGCCTGGACTGGGTTGGCAGAGAGTTGAAATGGTGTAGGGGCAGCACGTTTCGTCTCGCTCCAGAATCCAACAGAGCGCTAAGTCTTAGTCCGTGTATCATAATCTGAACACACATATCTTCTTCTTGGCTTTTACTGCATACAATTACTGCACCAGTGTCAGACGATGGGTTAGGAATTAAACTAACTTGTCTTTGCTGGGGGCGGCGTGGAGAGGGACATTGCTTCTGGATATGCCCCACGCCGGAGCAGTTGTGACAAACGACCTCCTGTGAGGTCATTTTGCTGGTCATAGTCTTATTTGGATGTTGTTGACGAGCTTTTAGCGCCCTGTGTGTGTGCTGGGCGGACGTAACAGGAGCGCACCTTGGTTGATCGCATTCAGAGGCTGGAGCATCCTCCAATACCACAGCCGCTCTTGCTGCCGAGCCGCGGGGACCCAGCCCTGGACGCATCATCTGTGTTACGGCCCTGGCTGCTCTCTTTGTGGTCTCGTACCGGTGGGCAATGTCATAGGCACAAGCGAGTGTACGAGGCTTCTCTTCAAGGAGCTTTTGGATAATGTCAGCGTCGGTCATCGCATTAGTGAAAATCTCCACAGCTACACAGTCCTGTTCCAGTTCAGTACGGTCACCATACACAATAGCGACCTTTTCATAGATGTCGTCTCGGAGTGTGTGCATGGTTTCACCTTGTTTCCTGACTCTCTGCCTCAGCTCGATGCCAACAGCTGCAGCGTGCTCTGACCGCGGCCCATAAGCAGCGTCCACTTCCTTCACAATGTGCTCATAGCTCCAGTTAGCAGAGTTGGGGTTCTTGTGGACAATAGCGCCAGCAGCACCACTTAAACTGAATCTGAGTTGAATAGCTTTAGTCTCTTCTGACCAGTGATTGGCTCTGGCACATGTTTCAAACTGGTAAATAAAGCCTTTCCACGAACCTGTCCCATCAAAGTTACCGGGTCGCAGAGTAGGGATTCTCTCTTTAATCCTGTAACATTCTTCATCACTGCTATCCGCGCATGCCTCCACAACCCGGCGGCGGGGCGCTGACTTTGCCCGCTTATAACTGGGACGACCTGGGTCACATTCATGGGTACTCACACTTGGCCTCCCAGGAAGGCACGGGTATGGGCTGGAACTTAGAACCGGAGCGCTAAACCTGATGGCGGCATCTGGCAGAAAAAATGGCCCGCTGTGGGGTTGAGTAGGCAAACCGGCTACACAGTCACAGTTAATGGGCTTAGGAAGAGTCTGGAAAACTGTGTTTTCATTCACATCGTTCTTTGTCACAAATGGGGTTAATTTGTAGTCGTCAGAATAATGGACGGTCCTAGATTGACAACCGCCCGTGTCCGCGGGGGTCAGGAAGGGGTTTGTGTGTGCCGATGGTGGCGGTGTGGGCGGCCATAACGCCCCTTGTTGCTGCGTCGGCCCACGGTGCTCGTTCTGCGCAGCTAATAGCTCCATGCTATTGACAACCGGGCTGATCTCGTTTCTATTACGAACCATCATATTTAGCATAGCTCTTTCAGTCTCTGCCAACTCTGGCCAAAACGGGTTGGTGCTCTTGTTATGCTCTGTTACCTTCGAACGTGTTTTAAAATCCGCATTGCCATTTTCACGGTAAACAGGCGCCGCCATTTTCTCGTCGTGGTCCCTGTATTTTCTCCGGACTTGCAAAGACGGATCCCGGACTCGAGCCCCCAGTGTTACTTTTATTCTCCTGCCCAGTGATCTCTTAACCGTAGTACAGAGGCTGAACAGGCGTAGTACTCGTTAGACGTATTTTTATTCCAAAAATAGAACAGGAGCATGACAGAGGAGCCTTAATGAAGAGAGGCCACTGCAGAACAGAGCGTTGAGCGCGTAAACAACGGACTACACAGACCCGAGACATCCCACAATGCACCGCTCTTAAAGGGCCAGGCTTGGCCTATTACAACATCCATCCCACACAGTAGTTTGATTTGTATTTTAATTTGTAGCCATATATTCCACATGTATGATTTAAATAAGCTAAAACAGTGTTTAGTTTTTGGTTCTAAAGGTTTTCAAAGGTAACTAACAATAATTGTGATGTCTTGTAACAATTTTTGTTATTGTGTTATTTTTCGCTAAATTGAGTTTGGAGTGAGTGAAAAGCTACATGTGCACCTCATGTCTTTGAGTGTGAGACATTATGAGGCTGTGCCTGAAGCTGTGAGTCAGGACGGATGAGCTAAAGCAAGTGTGCCACGAACAATGAGACCAGAACAGAAGGAATACTAGACTGGAAAGATATGAGCAGTAAAACATTTGACATTTGAAATGTCATGATGAACGTCAAACCATTTCTGTTGCCTTCTTTGCTCCTGCACACTTGAATATGTGCATGTCCAATATCACTCAGGACAATGAGGCACACAAAACAGGATGATGACTAAAATGAAAACGTTGGGAGCCACCCAGTGCAAGCACAAGAGTATGGAAGGCATTAGTCCCACTCGCTGCAATGAAAGGCACTGAAGGTGTGTTCGCAACAAAGTAGTGGACAAGCATCCTGTGGCAGCCGACATGTGCACAGACCTTTGAAGACCACAGGAGACGAAGGGAAGCCAGACATGAGCCGCAAGCACATAACAGTATACAACCACTGTTGTAATATGGCACCGGCCACAATGTATCTCAAGGGAGGCCCATGCGAATATTTCACACAAAACACGCAACAGAACATTAGCTTCTCCCTACATAGATACTGTGTTCCCTTCTTTTGTATTGTGACCCACTATTAAATGCACACATCAGACTCCTGACCCATGCATTGAACTATTACAAAAAGAACATGCACTGCAGGAACAAAAGTGAGCTCAAAACGAGTCCTTTTCCGCAGTCTTAAGTGGCACACATTCACACACACTGCTGTGACTGCCACAAGGTCTTTTAATTGTGCCCGCTGGGACCTGTGAAGACCTATCACCACTGCCCGGGATGCAAAGAAAATGTCTAAATGCAGCTTTCAGCCCATTGCAACTCTTTTTATACATTTCATTTGCGCTTTACTTAATCTCTTTTGTATCGTTTTACCCTGCCTCTGATGCTTCTTCCTCTGTCGCCTCTCCCTCTTTTGTTTCCATCCTGAGCTCCCATGTTGGCTCCCTGGAGATAGACTATAGTTATGTGCAGTCGACTGCCTAGATAAGGGCTCCACTTCCTGGGGAATTACATATCCTAGCATGACAATAATACAAGGAAAGCATTGTGTAAATGATGAATAGTTGAAGAAGTTGCAAAGCTTAAAAATTGGGACATGAAAACAAATTGATTGATAATCTGCATTGATAATGAAGCATTTCTAGCACAGTCCAGTTTGACAAATGAGACACATTTGGGGAGGAAACCATAACTTTATTTTACTGTTTGTCAGCTTTAGATTTATTACTTTATTCTTCTGTCTCATACTTTCTCCTGTACTTCTCCTCTGGGGACCTGAGCTTGCTGAAACTTCTCCAAGTGCACAGCTGTAATTGAATAGAAGCGAGTTCTAATGGAACATTAGGCTGTTCCTGTCTTGGCAGGCTCTATTGATTTTGACTTTACTGGATCGTAAACAATAGGGGCTAAATGTAACTGAAATGATGCAGACCTTTGTATGAGCTAACATTTGGAGACTATTGAGCTCTGGTTATTTCAGTGACTGTGTTGGCCATTAAAAGTAGTTTCCTGCTCATAAAGTAAGAGCTGGTGGATTGAGCTGTCATCCTGAGGCGCGGTTAGATTGTGTTTCCATAAGATAAAGTTAACATATTTCTTAACTCAGAAATAGCTTGTTATGAAATGTTTGTTTGCATTCGCTCTTGGTGCTGTTATGCCAAAGTAGACAGTAAAGAATTGCCTTTCAAAGAAAAACGTCAAAAGTTACAGTAAAATCTCTGCTTCTCATACAGTATATGTTGCATATCTGAATAAATAAGCAGACCAAATTGACCATGGTGGATGTGAGCGTGAATAAATGTTTGCCAATGTGTCTCTAAATGTTAGCTATGTTGCTGTAAGGCCATTGTCCACTTTGACACTAACAAGCTGGTGTACCTCCAGCATATTAATACTTACTGTGAGAAATGCCTGTCTAATTCTTTACTGCAGCTTTAAATAACTCAATACTGTGGACTGTTTTCCATAATTCTTGTTATTTTCCTATAACCTCTCACTAAGAAGAGACATTTACATTCAGCAGGTCAGTCCACCGTTTGTCAAAGGTATTTGAATTAAACCGCTCGTCAGCTCAAACCGCTGCTCTGCTCCTGTTTCTTGACGAGTGTTTTCTCAGTCGGTAACAAGCAAAAAAATAGAACCGATTTGATCTCAGTGCTGGGCATATTAAATGAGGATTGTGTGGCGGCCAGAATGGCATTATGCTTGACAGCGCACTTGTCAGATGTCAGAGCTTCTTGCCGTCACAGCCTGCATTAAAAGAGAAATCAAATGAGAAATCGATGCCACAAGTGAACTTCAAGAATATCGAAATAGATAATAGTAAAAGTGAAGTTATGATTTGATCATTCACTTTTTAAGTACACTGCGTCACTCTATAAATCTTCTTGCCCGCCCAGTACAAAAGAGTATTACTTTTTAAAGATGGAATCAAACCCTGGACCGTCTTCAGAATGCTATAATTGAAGAGCATCCAAACGTAGCCTCCCTCGGACAGTGTCACGGCCCATGTAAAAATAGTCGCCATTAACATTTAACTTTTTTCTTTTTCTCGCGTATTGTCATGAGGATGAAAGTCGGACTGGCCCTTGAGGGGACCAGACAAAATGCGTAAGAATATTAATCCCCTGCCTAGAAAGATCATTGTGTCCATCCCTGCAGCAGCTGTTGCAGAGGTCACGTCGTCTGAAAGCCACCCGCAGATCCCCTCATCTCATAATTTGACTGGGGAAAAAGGCCACATCAAATCACATAGCGTTTTATCACACTTTTTCATAATACTGTCATTAACTTGATCGCAGGGTGAAATCCCCAATATGCCACGGTAGTCTGATACGTGTGTTTGGAATAGGAATTCAGAAAGGTTGTAGGCAGTGGGATGTCTTCCAATCATTGACCGAGCTACTTTAAACAGGACGTACAATACACAGGAAACCTTTAAGAGCTATAACACATGCTTCAAATGTTTCCTGTTTACATTTTTCCAAACTGTTTTCTCTAGCCATGCATCATTATTGTCCCTGCAAGACAATCTGACTTTCACTAGTGATAGATACAGCGCCAAAGCTCTCTACTCTCATTCCTCCATAATTCCTTTTTCCTAAGCCAATGATTCATGTGGGATTCTGCATTATCATGGCATTAAATGTGAACGAATATACAGCTTATAACTGGCTGTATGTAAAGGGTAAAGGGACAGAGAATTCAATCTTCATGTTTCAGTCAAAGTCAGAAGTTCAGTTTGGTTTTATGTTGAATTGTATAAACAAATATAAGTAATGATGAGGTCAGAATCAGAATCAGAATCATTTTTATTGCCACGTAAGTAACAGGAGGTCACAGACTTGGAAATTGCTTTGGCTCAGTGCAACAGTCAAAAAGAGATAATAAAAATAAGAATAAAAAACACTTCTAAAGAATAAATTTAAATTTAAAATAGAGTTACAGTTACTATTTACAATATACAAGTGCACATGGTGCACACAATGTAAGGTGACAGCAGTACAGTGAAGTAAAGTGACGTATGATGGGCAGTAAAGTGACTTTATAAAGGGCGGGGGGACAGGTTAAGAAGTGTTCAAGAGTCCAGCGGGAGGTTCTAGTCCTGATGGACCGCAGCCTCCTGCCTGAGGGGAGTGGTTGGACTAGTCCATGTGCAGGGTGAGAGGGGTCGGCTGTGATACGACCAGCCCGGCCTCGAGCTCGGGCGACGTACAGGTCCTGCAGCGATGGAAGGCTGCGGCCGATCACTTCCTCTGCAGAGCGCACAATGCGCTGTAGTCTCTGTTTGTCCCTGACTGTGGCTCCAGCGAACCACACGGTGATGGAGGAGGTGAGGATGGACTCGATGATGGCCGTGTAGAACTGCACCAACATCTGTGCAGGCAGCTTGGCTTTCCTGAGCTGCCGCAGGAAGTACATCCTCTGCTGGGCCTTCTTGATGAGGGAGCTGATGGTCGGCTCCCACTTGAGGTCCTGGGTGATGGTGGTGCCCAGGAAACGGAAGGACTCCACAGAGGTGATGGGGGAGTCCATCACGGAGGGTGGGGGCGGGGGGACAGTGCTCTTCCTGAAGTCCACAATCATCTCCACTGTCTTCTGGGCGTTCAGCTCCAGGTTGTTACCACTGCACCAGGACACCAGCCGGTCCACCTCCCTCCTGTAGGCGGACTCATCGTTGTTGGAGATGAGTCCAATGAGGGTGGTGTCGTCCGCGAACTTGATCAGCTTCACGGAGTCGTGGCTGGAGGTGCAGTGGTTGGTGTACAGGGAGAAGAGCAGGGGAGAAAGAACACAGCCCTGTGGGGCTCCTGTATTTATAATCCGAGGGT